GTTAATGGAGCTGTGTGTCTTATTCTGAAGTAGAAATTGAGAGCAAGTTATTAACATAGACTGCTGTAAAATCACGTAACAATAAAATCGCTCTGTCTTTCCATACGTCAGAGAACTGTATACGTCGTCTGCGTTGCCAGTAATTGTGAAGGTTCTAGAAATAAATCCCAGATACAGGCATACCTCGGAGATATTGCGGGTTCGGTTCCAGACCACCGCAATAAAGCGAGTCACACGAATTTTTTTGTTTCCCAGTGCATGTAAAAGTTATGTTTACTCTATACTGTAGTCTGTGCAATAGCATTATGTCTAAAGAAACATTGCGAGAATCACCAAAATGTGACACAGAGACACGAAATGAGGACATGGTTTTGGAAAAAATGGCGCAGATAGACTTGCTCGACGCAGGGTTGCCACACACCTTAAATTTTGAAGAAAAACGCAATATCTGCGATGCGCAATAAATCGAAGCATGCCTGTATAACGACTTGAGGTCATTGTTTGAAGACACCGTTTTACGGTAATAGTTTGGGATCACATTAACGCAAGAATGAGCCAAGATGAGACAATTACATCAGATAAAATTTTGTGCAAGAATGACTCAAGACGCAATATTGAAAACCTCCCCTGGATAAAATTATTGCAACAGCGACCTACGTGGCGAGCCGTGGAAAGCATCTTTTGAATTTCAGTGCATTTCAAAGAGTACAGATTCTAATTTGCTACTTATATTCGGGGTTAAACTTACGAAGTTGTCTGGAGCGTGAATAGGAAATCTGCCACATCGAGCCTCTCCACGGACATGTGGAAATCTGCCAGTGCAACTTCCGCGTCATTTTTAATTAATTTTGCAATCATTCCATTCCACGATCCATCTGTAAGTCTAATCCCCCAGTCGTCTTCTTCGTTGAATTTACTTCTGATGATACAAAATACCAAAGTAGATCATACAAATTCAATAGCCCCGAAGTTATTTCCATACTTCCAGAGTCATAAAATAATATACCCACATGAAATTCAGCCTCTGTTCGAGTGTTGACCAAATCTCTCCAAATAAGCCACCAACTTCTTGTATATCTTTGCCTTTCTTCAGTATATCAGTCATTAACGACTTCTGTAAAAATTAAACAGCATTATCATCAAGGAAATCAAAAACAATTAATTTTAAGTTTCTTGTAAATAGTCGTAAAACCCCAGGTTACAATAGTCAGTAGGTCTACCAAAACCCACAATTTGATTTTCCCGGACTATTTAAATTCAACCCCCCCCCCCCTTTGCACAAAGCCTATTGTACCGTTAATTTTCATCTCATTCTCATCGTCTTTCCAACTGTACATTTTCAAGAGGATTCCCTATCACAATTCTGTATGCATTCATTGTTTACTATTTAGCTACATTCCCAACCAATCGCAGCCTCCTAGGTTCTAATATTCTTACATAGATATATGATATGTACAAGTTTCTCGTTGTGTACCAAATTTCGAGGTCGCATGGTTCGTATTCCTGCTAACCCTGCCAGGAGACCGTCTGTCCTCGCTGAGGTTTTTCGTGTTTGTTATTTTGCGTTAAATTGGGTCACGACAGCTTAAGTCTACATAATTTTTAATTCATTAATCCTCTCTTTGACGCTGTATAATCTGAACCAGTGGTAGTATCGTTAAACAAACCACAAATAAAATAAACCTTCCTTATTTAATTTCCTAAAGGCCATTCCAAATCGCTTTTCTTAGGTCAAAGTATTTTCTAAAATAATTAGGTTCCAAACATTTGAGAATTCTATAATTTCATAATGTAAAGACTCTACTAATAATTACTCTGTGTTTTTATAACCATTCGTGATTCTTCATGTAAAATTACGCTGATTCACATTAGAAATAGTATTCTGTAAGACATTTCGGTTTATCTGAAATTAGTTTTACCCATTTTTCGTTTGAGGTTTCCCGTTGGACCACCAGTGAGCAGTAGAATAACTAATTTAGTATCGCCTGTTATGTGTTACATCTCTAGTAATATTATTAATTATACACGTGTTTAAATTTAATAATTATAATAGCCAGATATTAAAATATTCAAATGGGTTTCATAACTTGTAAATAAAATCATAAAACTTTCGTCAGAAAATTTTTAAAATACGTTATCGTTACAGGTTTTTATCTAACTGGTTTTTAAATATAATGTGTCAATTGTTTTCTTAAAATTGCGAGACGTACTTCAGAAACCAATGCCCTTAAAGTTAAGCCATGGAGGTTTTGCCTTTTCTTCTGTAAAGATGTACCCATCCACTGCAGTCCCTTGTCATGTGACCAGTTGCCTACTCGATGCACTTGAAGGGAAAACGTAGCGTGGACACGGTATACCTCCACGAGCTCCACCGCTTCTCCAGACTTCTGCGCAACAAGGAACTCGCAGTCCGGAGGAATGTTTACATCGCCCAATACGTCTTTCAAGTTGCTGTTCTCTGGTATGAACAGCAACCATCTTGCCTTTGCTCCGATCAGATCACCTACAACCTCAAAACGCATGAAATACATGTCATTTCACTGTCCTGAGTACAGAAATTACAGTTTTAATGGACCCAGGGGATTAATTAAAGGTGGAGAATTAATAACTCAGCGGTTATTAGCGTTTTAAGAAGGACCGTCTAACTAGAGTGCCGCGGTGGTCTAGCGGTTAGAACGCTGGCCTTGTAATCATGGGGTCTCGGCGTCGATTCCCGGCGGTGCCCGAATTTATAACTTGTGTTGGGCAAGGCCGTGGTCTAGGCGGCGGTGGCCGAATTTATAACTTGTGTTGGGCGAGGCCGTGGTCTAGGCAACACGGAGTTTTCCTCCGTGGCATCCCAACAATTACTTCATTCACACACAGAAGAAGGCAATGGCAAACCACTTCTGGATCATCTGCCAAGAACGTATATGAACAGGTCCCAGTCCGAGAAAAGGATGGAAGGATCCTGTTCACATGGACCTGTTGTCAGACAGAACACTAAATAATATAAACCGTCTAACTCTGCTTATCTATGCGATGCCATACCTCAGTTGTTATAGGAATCCACTCACTGGACATGTCAATTACGTGCAGACGACGACTGCACAGTTGTGAATAGTTCAGATTGGACCTGGCAGTCTCGAACTGAATACTCGACGGTCGAACACAAGGTTCGACAAGTTGTTTCTGCAGTTCTGTCAGACTCTGGATATACCCAAGACCTGCGAAATATTTTTCTTACACTGTGTTTACTTCTTTACATGTGAATGAATTAAATAGTTGAAATCATGAACACGAATTAACGTACGCACTATCGAACATTTTCGAGTATTTATCTCGCTAAATGTACATTTAAAAATTCTCGTTACCTGCATCTCCATGTAGACGCATTATGAAAACACACTCAGACATAAAGTGTCGTTGAACAGAAAAAATAACATTTATGGTTTGTTGGGTTTTGTAACAAGACCCAAATTTCATGATTATTAACAAAAAATACGCTTTCAGCATCACTACTATCTTAAATTGTTTAATAATTATTCAACGCCGGTTTGTGTTAATAATCTTACTACAGAAACCTTCCTTCAGACAACTTCACAGTGCGTCGTTAAGAATCGTTCTTATCGCCTAACACAACCACGCGAAACATTTAAAATTGGTGGTGTCTGAAGTGAATGTTTTGTAAAGATAATCAATATATTGACTTTAAATATTCGTATTTACTACTTTTCTTAGAATAATAATTGCTGACCTCTCTTCATACAGTTCTGGCATATTTAATAAGTCTCTTCAAACGAAAAGCAAGTATATTTAATGAGTTAATCTCTTTCGGAATTGTATTGAACATAACGTGTTTTACGTGGAATGAAGATTATAAAGAATCTTAATAATTGAAATAATAAATTTCTGTTTGCTAACTATTGTCGTATTCAAAACATTATGAAGCGAATTGAACAACTCAATCGATCAGAGATGGTCGATGCGCTGGGATTTTAATATTTGAATGTTAGAGCACACAAAAGATATCCAGCAAGGCAGCAAATGTGTAATAATGGAATAGAGAATATTAAACATCGATGGAATTGGTAATTTTACTCTTCAGATTTTAAGGTTAGTGTTTGAATCCAGTAGGATCAAATGTGGAAAGAAATTCCTTTATTTTATGAAAGTAGAATGTCGTAGGATCTGAGGTTCTCACGGCGGTGAGTATGAAGATTTCTGTCTTCTGGGTTGTTGCAAAGTCTGGTAGAAATTCATCAACGTTTCAGATGTCATAGTGCCTCCATATTTCTTGAAAAAACTTTTACATGCGAGAAAGTATCTCCACATGACGTGAAGATATTAGAATGACCATGAAATAATCCAGATCTAAACACTGTGCAATAAGCAATAATTTGGAAGCGACAATATTAAAAAAGTAATAAACTCAACACCACTGCTGTACAATTGCAATTTGAATCATGCATAGATGTTCAGAAACCTTTAATTGCTTGCAATTATAAGGTTTCTTGTTACTGTACTTCACAAATGCTGCCTGATGTTAAATTTAAAGGATTTAAGTTCAAATCACTCTCAATTGCCGTCATGTGAAGGATTTCATGTGGTCAGCAATTTACTTTACAAAATATTACCATTCCCGGGAGTAAAGCTGGCCGCGGCACGATGCTGACCACTCACACCATCTAGTGACAAGGTTAAGAACGAGTAGGAGCTATACCGTCTCTCCACCCAAACGCCTGCACGGCGTGTAGCGGAACAATTTTACTTTTCTTTACTATTAACTGAACAAAATGTGAATATATTTTTAAGACCTACATTTCAATTTTCAAAAATCAGTAATAAATGACAGGCACATGGATGTTCAAGATGGAACAGATATGTGCTAAGGACGCCTACAGAGGCATTTTTTATACCAAATTTTGTTAAAATCAGTCGTCTACAAAGTTTAAAGGGACACACAGCATTAAGCTTACACACTTTTCCCTTTGGAAATGAAAGTAGGCTAAACATAGGGATAGGTAAGGGAAATAAAACTCGTTCACATTTTATTGAAAAACAGAAATAATTTTAAATACAACCATCACAGATACAAATAGAAGATGCTCATTTGGCTGCTTGGCTGTTATGTATTTTCTGCAACCATTCAATGATTAGATTCCTCAAATGATACACTGCCTGTTCATTATCATCCACCGAATCAAACGCCAAGCTCTCTTCTTCGGTCGTTGGCGCGAATTTACAGCCGTACGTCAACAGATCCTCGCAATCCAAGACCGAACCCAAGACCTCTTTACTCAGTTGAACAATTTCAAACATTTTTTGCGTGCTTATTAAACTGTTGATCGCTTTAGTGTTTTGGAATGATATTACAGCTTGAATAGTGTTCAGATACTTTCTGAGGTCGGCCACCGCCATTTTTGATCCGAGCTTGGGCAGGAGATCCAATTCCAATAGCAAAATGTAATGCGGAAAGTACTGAACCACCGACGATTTAGTTTTCCCAGTGCCGCCATCTTTCAGTTCAGTCGCATCGAAAAGAACGGTCTGTAAAGACGAGACGATGTCGATTAACGTGCTGATGAAGACGGTGTCATGCCGAGAAAGCTGTCGGATCGTCTGGTGCAACCACGACACGAGACCATTTGTAGACACGAGCACTTTGGCTGCGGTAGGAATCTTCACGGTTGACTGAATCACTTCAAGAATCAATTTCTGGAAGTACATAAAGAATATGAGACAGTGCCTTAAATTAGGGTATGATCATTTCCTTCCAAATCCTTTACCCTATATTTAGTGAGCTACTGATAGCGTAATTAAAAAAAGATTATGGCATATATTTACAAAACTGTCCTGATGAAATATTCAATGTTAACCTCCATTATAAGCTGTCACGCTACACGCCACGTACGCGCTTGGGAAGAGAGGTAGTATAGCTCCTACTCATTCTTAACCTCGGCTCTACATAGGGCGCTTAACCCCCGGGATAGGACCCCGGTATTCATCGGATAGGAGGCTGCGTGCGCCCCAGAGCCGCGTCTAGAGACAGGGTATAGGAAAAGAAATCTTTTGCCTCGGTCAGGTATCAAACCCCGGTCGTCCAGTCTGTAGCCAGTCACTTCTACAACTGAGTTACCGCGCATACGAAGCAGATATTCCTGCATTCCATAATTGTATTCGTACCATCTTCAAAATTAGTCGGTAACAAATACGATTCCTAAATTAGTATTTTCAATATCCTGTTATTTCAGTAAAACATTCTTAATATTAATATATTATTAACTACCTTGGTGTCGTCATCTGCAAGAACAGACGAATAGAATCCCAGTAACAGCTTGAAGACGACGCATCTCTGACTTAATCGGAAATCCAAATTACTCTTCATGCCGTCTCGAATTACCCGCAGGATCCAAAGGCGATATGTCCTACAAATGCGAGTAGAAAAGAGTGACATTTCCAACAAAACAAAATTATTTTCCATTCAAAAAACCATTAGCTTTCGTTCCATTTAAGCACGGTGCGTACGGTATACTTTCAAATTAGAAACGTGTGAGCTTAATAGGGGCTCCGCAGTGGCCGCGCGGTCTGAAGCGTGGGCCTTGTGCCGCTTGGTCGCTAGGACCGTGGGTTCAAATCCCACTCAAGCCATGGATGTTTTTCTGTGTTGTGCTGTCCTGTGTACAGGTAGAGGCCTTGCGACGGGCCGATCCCTCGTCCAATGAGTCCTACCGAATGTCCATAGATCAAGCCAACTGAAAAAGTGGGGACCCTCAGTGCTCAGGCACTTGAAGAATAGGTCGTTCCCAGACTCCAGTATCCCAGCGAGCTTAATAATTATAAGTCTGACCTGAACTTGAACTTTACAAAATTTGTAAGCTCGTATGTCTGCGTATCTCAATGTTAAATTACAGATGTACTTTGTCAAAAGTGGTGGAGTGATTAATGCTGAGAAAGGAAAAAATATGGGATCAGCGGAGCATGAGAAGAACTGGATAAAATAATGAAATTGTTTATAAATTTCCAATGGGAATGCCCATCATAGTGAACGAGACATGCATGACGAAGCTTAGAACAGATGAGAAAAGTCGAAACTATAGAACACATAATAGAGGAAATTCCAGGAAGAATAGTTAAGATTCGTGAATATGGATGTTGGACGTTGCCTACTCCTCTTCGATAAAAAAAAATGTGCTGTTTTTTCAACATAAATAGATATTAAATTTTTTTGAAGGCGACACTTTGCATGCTTTATAACTTTGATTAATCCTGCCATCTAGTAATTGCACAGTTGAACCAACTGAAGCTGAGGTACGTCTGGATATAAAATTTTCCTTATGTCTTGAGGGAAAAACAAATAGGAACAGAATTATATGACCCATCCATCCATTCATCCTATGACTACAGCCCTTTTGGTGGGCCTTGGCCTCCTATGTGGGAAATTACTTGGTCTATTAGACATTTCGTGGGATCCCTTGGGTGACTAATCAGCCCATCGTGAGGCCTCTACCTGTACACAGTATAGCACAATACAGAAAGATGCAAACAAACATCCCAAGGTCCCAGTGTCCAAGCGAACAAAACCCTTGCCTCAGACCCACAGTGACGCTATAAGTGGAGAAAGAACACATACGTAGATCGTGAATTATATATGACTAAGGAAGAAATTACATTTACCTGAACTCAACTTCAGAGCTATGCAAGAAAGTGAAGAACTCTGGTATGGTATTCAAATTAACCGATGATTTGGCTATGATGAAATTCTGCAATGGAACGTAAAACTCGTGATGAGTCTGCGACAGAATGAGCGAAGTTCTAGCAAGAAACGTCGTCACAATGCACGGTAACTGCGGATTCAGGGACTCGTTCTTCAGCGAAGCCACTCCATTGCGAACAGCATCCAGAAACTGCAGACTCAGCAATCTTCCTTTAACGTTTCTGTAACGAAGTAATAACCGACATCAGACGTCGTAACGTCTCTAAATCCAGAGACAGGATACCTCAGTCACTATAGTGACGGGGATGCCGGCTGGACGAGCTAGATTCGATTCCTAGCAGAGGCAGGTATTATTATTCTCCCAGTAGGTACTACAGCCTCGTTTACTACAGGAGAAACAGCCAGAGCATTTGACATTTGAATCTGACTTAGTCACCATCTGGCACCGAAGTAAAGAATGCGAGGAGTTCTCCCCCCTTAAATTAACATTACAGCGAAGTAAAGAATGCGAGGAGTTCTCCCGCTTAAATGGTTGACATTACATGAACAAAGTTACATCTGACAGATTTTAGAAATAAAAAAGGATATGGTAACGAAGAAAATACAATTCATCAGCAGTGTAATTGATGTACGTACAATAAAATGTAGTTTCTATTAACAGATTATTCCCCAAAATGAAATCCTAGGCATGTTATTATTGGTCCGGAATAAGTGGGATTATCCATTTGTGGTCTGCCGTAACTTTTCTTCTGAATAATCCCAACGTGAATAACAATAATACTTACCTACAAACTTCTTCGTGGAAGTACAGTCTGGCTACGACATGGTACGCTGCAGCTCGAGTATCCTCGCATGCAGAGCACAGTGCTGCCAATGTAACAGCCAAGCCACCAGAACTTATGAACTTGTAAGTGTGTACCACAGATTCAGGAGCTAGCAAGTGACTGAACAGTGGCAGCAGGAAGGCCGGATCATATACCTTACGTCCGCACTCGAGAGACTCGGAAGCCTATAAATATAACGTAACAAACGTTACTTGTGCGATACTGGATTGTAAACGAAGAACAGGAAGAATTTATTATTGACTAAGCTATTCCGACCCAACTATTTAGATGTAGTTTAAGATATAATGGAAGAAAAACTGATAAAAAAGAGTTCTTAACGCTACATGAGATAATTACACACACTTAACAGTAAGTGGATAAATTCATAAGTGTGATTCTCACAGCAGTGAGTAAGAAGATGGCTAACTTCTGGCTTCATTTACCACGCAGCCTGGTAATGTTTTACTAACATTTTGGAGGCAACATGGGTGTCTAACAGAGCACCAGTAAATGACCAAACCTGAATATGGGATCAAATACGTTAACATAAAATATAAATAACGTGTAAGTGCTTACTTTTAATCCTCTGTTGAGGGGAAAGTTCTTTATTGTTTCTAATACGCAGTTCATATCAAGCAGCTCCAGCACTTGGTTTGCTTGCGGCTGCCGCCATAATGACATTCCCACTTTAGATTTGACACTGTAGTGGCTGACGGCAGCTTCACCCCAAAGATATGGCCGACACTCATGCAAGCTTATTCCTCCAGCCTCATAACTCTGAAGTAACTGTAATAAGTTGAAATAAATTATCATGAATACAATACCTGATGAAGAATATGGTTACAGACTTTTAAGGTTCTTTGTACGACGCAAACTACAGTTCGCAACTGTAATCTTGAGACTCGCAAGGAAAACAGTGAGTCCGTAGCGTTAAAGGCTGACGCTATCTTTCCTCCTTCACCCCATTTCCTCACTCCGCAAGTCTCAAGATTACGGTCGCGGACTGTAATTTCAGTTGATAAGTAAATGAAACAAATACTTCATTACATGTCCTGAACGCATACGCATAAAGGAAATAATGTTTTTTGGGCATGTTAAATGCTTCCCTAGTCACTAAACAGTTCTCATATTGTGGATAGAGAACGTGGTATCTAGATATTACTATAATGAATAAGTACTCGCAACGAGACGACAATAGGCAGTACTCCTCCAACATGGTCTTGGGCAGTACGCTACCAATTCCTCATGGCAATAAAATATGGCAGACCCCCGTGAACATGTTCATGGACCTTAAGGTGCAATAAAAGCAAAGAATTGCACAAAATAAGTGATTATTAAAAACAGTAATCACAGAGTTGGCTGTGTCTAAGCACCATACCATGAAGATGTATCGGATGCGTAGGTAAACATTCATTCTAGACCTTGGCCCCTGGGTGGAGTGAGCAGTCAACACAACCCCTGAGAAAAGACAGTGGTACACAATGGATAGGAGGCTGGGTTGGTCCCTCGGCAATTTTAGATTTGTATAAAATAAAAAACCCTGCCCCTGCCAGGAACTGAACCTTGGCCATCCAGCCTGTAGGCAGTTATTTTATTCAGAGAAGATTCAGGAAGATTTCAGGACACAGAAAGATTACTATAGCAGTGCACAGATTACGCTATTCATGGAGAAATACTGATGTGCATTGCATGGGAAAGGAAATTAAAATACGTTAAAAGAAGTGGAACTTTGAAGTTTCATTTAAAAACTTTACTAAATCTATATGATCCAAGTGAAATTATCTTGGTGATAAATTCTTCCATTTAAGGTGTAGGATTTCTTAACAGCAAGACTTACTCCGAGAACAAGTTGGTCAGTCGGGTCCAACGTTGCATTATAAGATCCCAGAAAAATTGGAATGTGTGAGGATGACATTACCGACGAGTCCTTCTTGACAAGTAGAAACAGAAGTTCCACAAGTTTACCTTAAATCAAGCCAATAATAAACAATTAAAAGTTATGACAATCACAAATGGTGTTACTTACACCAGAAACGTAAAGCATTATAATAAGGTTAAAGAAAACATTTTTCTTGGAAGTTACTTGTTGGTTTTATCTCATTTTATAAATGGGGATAATAAAACAATCTTTCTATTGCTGTGGTTCTTATCTCTTACACAAAATTCATGAACCTCCAAATGTGCGTCCTGCCACCCCCTCGGATTATTTTGGCGTGTAAGCACATCACATCATCACTCTCATTCCGCACGACTTGTATTGTTCAGGTAACTTACGCCTAACTTATTCAATGGTAGTCAGCCTATAACCTAAAAGATTCGACAGTACTAAAACCGCTGGATAAACTTTCGAGCAACAAATTTCCATCCGCCGCTCACCCCAACAATCTATTTCCCCTACACTCGCATCTACCTCCTCCTCGGTCTTAAACGTGGCCGTTCTTCAGTGGGTATCTCCATTCCTTTTGTCCCCCATTTAGCTACATGACCAACCAATCAGTTACCCAGATGTTTATCCCAACAATATCAGGTGATCTGCACAACAACCAAACCCCCAGATATAATTTCTCTCCAACTTTGTACCCCCAAAGTTGTTGGTGTATTATTCAAGTTATACATAGTATATAATCTACATATAAAATAAATTAAATATATTACATCCAAAATAATGTATTAAATAATAAGTTTTAAATGAGAAAAAAGGAGAATCAAGCTATTAAATAACAAATATATTATTGCCTATCATATAAAAATTATGAAAGGAACAAAGGCATTTTAGCAAAGCAAAATTGTATGTTTAAATATTTTATCAATTAATAATTAATGTGGTTCAGACCTGTTAATGAGATGATTGAGCTTGTTTCTGCCGCTCAGATAACAATCGCATAAAGGAGAGAGAGAGAGATAAATGGCGCTCCCAAATCGAATGTCCTTACGTCCGGTTCTCCTGTGGCCAACCCTAAATCTGGCCCTGATTATTCAGTTTTTATCATAAAATAATATATATATTTTTTACATTTCACGTACACCCTAAGATGTCTTCGCGTACCCCAGGTTGAATACCATCGGTCTACAGGACACTTTCTGAATTACTTTCCGTTACATTTATACTCTCCCCAAACAAATTATCATCAGCTGAGAAAGTAGTCTTTCGTACTTTACCTTTTTTTTGTGTTGTCCCGAGCATGACGGTAAGAAATTCTGAATGTGACAAAGCCCACTGGAATATTTCATCTATTTGAGGTTCTTCTGTAAGATTTTCATAGATGATGTCACAAAGCTTGACCAGAGTATCAAGTAACTTGCCACTGGTATCCTGATGGGGCTGCAGACCAAACTTTAGGGATACTTTAATGAAAGACAACCATACAGAGCTCTTCTTTATAGGTGCAGAAATATCTTGCCATTTATCAGTTAGCGCCGCACAGTCTTGTAACGCCTGACACATATTTTCCATCTGTTTCTGATCCAGTACATTTTCCTTAGACAAATTGACCATCATCTCAAGTACCAATAATACAAAATCTAACTGAGACTGTCCACTATTATGCACATTTTTTATAATTTTTGTAAACATGCATTTGATGAGATCTACGTAGAACTCTTCATACTTGTCCAACTGTACAGCCCTTGACTTCACTTCACGACAAAGGTCTTTACACGCTTTAATACCTGAAATAAAATGCCATAACTATAATAAACATACAAATACATTAGCTCTCTAACAGGTTCATTATTATATTCAGAAAAGCCTACCACTGGACCTTATCCTGAGCCAGTTGAATCCAGTCCACACTCTCACACCCATGTATTTAAGATTCATTTTAATATTATCCACCTATAAACTCATAGCCCTCTCAAGTGGTCTGTTTCCTTCAGGTTTAACAATCTTATTATAAAATTCTCTCAGGCATATCAGCCATTTCAATGCTAAATTACACAGCTAATTGCCCGAGAGGATTTTATAGCATTATTCTTCTTCTTCTTCTATGGCTCTCCGGTCCGTATTCGGTCCATGGCCTCTTCAATTCCGTCCGTCTGTCCGAGGCTTTGATCGAGGTTTCGAAACATCTTCCTTTTCACGGTGCAAGGTTGTTAGCCTTGCGACCAACCCCCAACCTGGAGGACCAGGGTACCTGTCTTAGTCTGACCTCTCCCCCTCGACCAACCCTCCCAGTAGCTATGCTACCGCCAGCATAGATTTTATAACATTCATTCATTGTAAAAGTTTACAAGGATTCTTAGCCAAGCAATCCCTGCATTTCGGTTAAATGTCCAGATAGGATGCAAAAGAATCTGTGGTATTTTGTTCAGTAACTGACAATGGTAAAGAAACTTATTAAATTTAGTTTTTTTAAGGAACGCAATTTTGCTATGTTTGGTAACTTGAAATTAGTTATCTGGAACAGCACAGTGGAGGCAGTGATAAAACGTCAGTATAAACAAAATGATAGTTCAAATAACTCACAAGATGGCCAACTTTCTTTTGGTATATAGAATGAATCACAGAAATAAATTAAGTCTCTTTTCATTTTATAATTCTATGATTTATGTGTGATTCAAAAAGCTTCCAGATTAAAGAATTATGTTATAATGAAACTGTTTTCAGTACTGGTAACATAAACATACCCATGCATTTGTACACAAGTTGTACAACAACAGAGCTGTAATACTTCAGCCATTCTGCAGCCTCAGAAGGTGTCAAAATTGCTGCCCGAATTTCAGTACTATACTCATTATATATTTTCTTGAGAATATTTTGTTCAATTTTTGCAGTATTGCATTTGAAAGCAGTGGATAAGAGTGGTAAAACAACAGCAGCATTTTGTCTCAGTTTTTTTCTTTGTCTTGCAAGCGAGATAAAATCATGAATCAGGACTGGTTTGCGACTAAGCAACAATACAGTCAGTTTTACAGAAGAGCTCCCAATATTTTGCTGCTGCAGCAGTCTCAGAAGCACTCCTGAAACACAGAACATTGTGTAATGTAGCTATGAAAGAATTATTAATACTCATACATTGATATGGGACAGATCCAGCATCAACCAAGAAACTTTTAAAGATATTTACATTATATTCATATTTTAGGTTATGGTTGTCACTCTGGAACAGTTTCTCGATTTTCTCACATTAACACGTAGTCTGACGTAAAATGAGGTTTCGTTACTTGAAAGTGGCAAATAGAATCTTAGGAGTTCATGGAATTATGACGAAAAGCTTCTCGGTAAAGAGAATATTGGGTGCGGGGGGAAGAATGTGAAATACTCCCTGTACTCATCTTGTTTTAAAATACTGAATAATGGATTAAGTACATAAATGAGCAACACTAAATGTAACACATCATCATTAGAATACTTCAGAGTTGTATTACTACCTGTTCCAAACTTCCTATATGTGGCCGATAGTTCATAATTTATCGTCATGAAACTGAAAACCAAATCTTTATCTTGCATGCCCACAAAAGCTGCACATATTCAAAAAGAGACCAGTTATAAAATGTATGTAGGATTTGAGGTTTTCACAGTGATGAGTCTAAAGATGGCTGTCTTCTGGGCTGTTGCACCATTGCCCTGATGATGGAGGCAGCAAGGACCTCTACACAGTGCAACAACCCAGAAGACAGCCATCTTTAGAAAATGTATGTATAGTATAACAATTCGGGCATATTTACTGTTACTGTCTCCAGAATTTCCATTCATTAACTTTAGATGCAGAAAACAAATGTAGACCCTCTAATACAATATCTGACAAATGAGTCCATTGATTCTAGGCTTACAAAATGGCACAGCATACAAATTAATTTTAATTATCTCTAAAACCATTACGCTTATGTGAAAAGTGTATTGGGGAAAAAATGTGTTTCACTTTGATAAACATTTAGCAAGTTACGCTCAAGAAGAATCCAGGTCTTCATATAAAGTGTCCATTATTGTATGGCAATTTTAACTAAAAGTGGAATCTATCACATTTTAGTAAAACTCTCAAGTATCAAAATTAAAGAAAATTCATTAAGTTCGCAGATGTAGCAAAGATAATAGGCACATTTTTCCAGCTTTATTGCAAATGCACCTAAGAAACTTACAACATGGAAACACGGTGGGCTTAAACTGAACACATTTCTAATAAAGTAAAAATTAAATCCGTGGCGTAACAGCTCCGGAGAGCCAAAGCCGACTAGCTTGACTGCTGGCCTCACGTTCACATGCTTAAGCAGAGGTGAACGATCATCCAACCAGATATAGGGTGACGTGTGGTCAGCACGACGAACCCCCAGCCATTGCTAGCTTTCCTGACCGGATTATGCTACCCATTGTAGCTCCCCAATTTCCTCACGATGCTGGGTTGGCACCGGTCCCATACATTGGTCGAAAGCTCATGAGAAAATTTCTTCTCCCCCGAGACTCGAACCAGCGCGTATTCCGTATCGCCGGTCCGAAGCACGATGCGTCAGACCACACGGCTATGGCGCGGGACTTCTAATAAAGTAATTTCATAAAATAAAATCTTCTCAGGCAACAAGCCATGTCAAAACGGAATCGTAGTCAATTTCTGAGATGCGGCTTGTTATCCGAGAAGATTTTATTGCATTTAGTTGCCGTGAAAGCCTCAAGTCTTATATAATTTCATGATGTTCTCTTCACTAGTTCAAAAATAAAAGGACAAACATATCAGAATTATACATGTACCTCTGAGACACACTGATAAAAACCTGTCATGTGCCAAATGAAAACATGCAATTGCTCCATTAAATACACCACTGGTTTGTGTACATATTCAATATAATGCCTGCTTCAGAATATCCAGTACCTTGGTACTTACTTCCTTCCAGGATAGCGGGTCAAGCATATCACACAATATAACTCATATCTAACCACGTTACATGTCCCTATTACTATAAAATTTATGTTTTCCACACTGCGTTTATCAGCACTATTTTTGTATTGATGCTTAGTAAACTGTACCTGAAACTATAAATTCTACACTTCTTAAACAAACTGGTCAAGACTAAGTGTAAGAACACACTTTAGAACATAAGACAACAGAATAAATTCTTGATGAAAGACTCTTGGGCTAAAGACGTACAACAAAGGAACAGACTGGTTACCCAGCAGCCTTAAAGATGAGAATAGAGATTGTTCTCGAAACGTTGGCAGAAGATACGGTTTATTCACCTTTCGGCCACCTCACGCGGCTTGTGGCCCGAGAGTCTTTCATCAACTTCAGTCGCCGCGAAAGCTTCACTTTATACAGAATAAATTCTCTTACGTGTTTGTATATGTTCAAGATGGTGTGGAAACTGCTCCAAATACTGGAGGAAGTGTTCTTCCATCAGTGTACAATGAAGCTGATCTTGCTTTGCTAGGTGAGCCACATGGTTTGCTATTGAAGTAACCATACCTAATGCGATAGGTTTATGCAAGGTTATACAACGGCCCAGTAGGTACACTAGAAGAGTTCCCCAAACTGACAGGGAATGTAAACCATCTTTCGTACAAATCAATGCTTCTGTTGGCACTGCCACGACACGGTCCATAAGTATCAAGACGTCTGAGAAACTTAACTCAAACAATTCTACAAATGGCACAACACTGTCCATATTCAAACTTGACAATTTGTTTTTCTTCAGTCTTCTGATGATGTGTTGGATTAGTTTCTGTTTGAATGGCTTTAAGATACCACTCAAAGAAATCATATCAATTTTCAAAAAGGATGACAATTTCAGCAACTCTAAAACAAGCTCAGTAACTAATTTTTGAACTGTCTGTTTCTTTTGATTTATGGGAGTGAAAAAGTGTAGCAAAAATGGGTGTGTAAATGTATGCTTAAGGCAATGAAGTGACAAACACTCCTGATCTAATAAATGAAGCATTTCCATTGAGAAGGTTTCAGCTGATTCATCTTGACGTTTGTCTACGCGAGATACGACACGTAACAATGATAACAGTGCCTCTTTACATTTATCTCTCAGTTTTTCGGTAAATTCCCCACGAAATGCAAGCTGCGTCATGTGAAACACAGACAACTTGTAGAGAAGCAGTACATGGACTGGGTCTCTGATACATGACCTTTCTTTGCCAAAAAGGACTGTGGATTCTTTTAACGGAACCAGTGCACTGCTTTCATTATTTACTGAAGAAGGATCCACAATGTTACTGACAGAATTCCCATCAGCCTGTAAAAGGGCATTACTAAGCTTCCTCTCAGGGCTGTGTCTTCCAAATGGTTTCTTGAGGGGCTCAGGTGACTTGTCGGATAACCATCCGCTGACATACGACATAACTTCAGATGGCAATGGCACAGGCCAACGTTGTAAAAGGTGTAACATGGTTCCTGGCAAAGTCTGCGAGTGCAGCAAATGAATCACCACACATGATATAAAGTATTTAACGCCCTCAAGCTGATCATTATCACATACAGTAGCTGCAGTCTCTAATACACCTGGTAGTAATGGACTTAGAGAGACAGCAGTACTAGCAGGAGTGTTTTCAAATTCTTGTACCCTTTCTCCAAGGGCTTCATCACTTGATGCTTCCAACAGTTCTGGAAAAAAAATTTACAGATGTAGTAAGAAACATTATCTAATTATCAATGACATTGGTAGTCATTCCATAGCATTTCAAACATAAAGTTGCATATATACATTTCAACAGATATAGTTCCAATTGACACAATTGGATTGGAATTGTGGGGAAAATTCCTACCACCAATTAAAGCTGTTTGTTAACGCTGTTTAAGGAAATAACCATTCTTTATTCTAAGTCACACTTAATACATGAATAAACTCTACAGGCAAAAAGCTGAATTACTGAATCTTAAGGCATGTAGATAACATACCTAATAGTAAGTTCTAAAGGGCTAACCCATATCTCCCCACTGGGAAGTCTGAGCTATGGCAACAAAATATTTGTCCTCACCATCAAAAATATCTTCCAGTTGACTGTTGTCCACTACTTTCCTAGTATCTTCTGCTCCTTCTTCAGATTTTATGATGAAGTCTATGTACATTGCTGTATTCCGACTAACACGTACAATTGCATCCACTAAAAGCCTGGCGACAGATTTTCTGTGGTCAGCAGGTACTGCAAGGTAACAGTGCAGCCACACAAACACTTCACTCACAACTCCCTCAAACAGTCCCGTGTTGATCAAAAGGGTACACAGGATATTCCTGGCTTCTAAGGGTATTGTGGTTGAAGGATAATCAACCAGGTAAGAAAGACGATCAATAGCATCACCAAACATTTCCTAAACAGAAGTACAAGAATAATGGCCAACAGTCCTCCATGTTCATTGACATGATTAAAAAAAGCATGAAAAATTACATAAATGTCTGTTACGAGATACCTTCAAGGTCAACGGTGAGTCTGAAGATGGCTGTGTCTTCTGGGTTGTAGCACTGTGTAGTCTGGTAGAAGTTGACTAACATCGCAGAGGACCTTGTTGCCTCTACTAATTCCCTGATAATGGAGGCAGCAAGTACTTCTGACACACCAGTAAATTTCTACCAGACTACAAAGTGCAACAACTCAGGTGACAGCCATCTTCAACTTTAAGGTTTATCATAAAAGACCTTTCTTGAGATCAGGTGTAATACCACTGTGTCCTGTATTAAAGATAGTTTTATATGGTCAAAAAAACAGTACTTTGTCCAGTAATTCTACTTCCTCGTTACAAAATCAGTCCACATAATACCCTTTATTTAAATATACAGATGTAGAAGACGGGGCAGAGGATTTTTCCTCTAGACAATGTGTCCAGACTGGCTCTGGGGACAACCCAGCCTCCTATCCAATGGGTAACAGGGTTCTTTCTTGGGGGCAAAGCATGGCTGGGGCATGACACTAACCACTCACCCCTATCTAGAACTGAGATTAAGAATGAGTAGGAGCTATACTTCCACTCGCCCCCAAGCGCTTACATGGCATATAGTGGGACAGCTTTACATTTCTTTAAAGATGTAGAAGACAAAATAATTCTTAGAGAAATAAGTATAAAAATTCAAATGACGCAAACCTTATCAGGTGTAAATGCAAAGCTGTCTAACGTAATCAAAAGTTGCAAGACTCTCTCTTGTAAAACAGCCACAGCTTCATGGTCTTCTTCATTTGCCATAATATGTTCAATGTCTGTTAAGAAATTTATGGAATTGGGAATGTCCAACGTGTCTGGAAAGCATTTATTATAGAGCAGAAATAAATCCATCATTGCCAACAGATGTGAGCTTAATTTTGGCTCGGGGACAATCTGATCTGACCGAGAGTTTTCTTCATCTTCATTTCCTTCAGGCACTGACAGATTAATGTTCCACAAAGATATCATCATCTCAGAGTTTGGTAGTTTCTGAAAACATAAGAAAATGAAGATATTTTCTGTAAAGAAACTTATTTAAAATATATTATAACCCAACCTGAAATATGCAGACAGTTCAATAGTGATGACAGGAAGATATTCATACATACCACACGTCATGGTTTAGTGCTTTGTATTTGCAAAGTCCTGGGTTCAAATCACAGCCTGAAAACCAGCTATCCAGACAGGTATGTCATGGTTTTCTTTCTACCTCCAAACACATTCTTTCCAATTCATTATTCACTATGATCCTACCACTATTGCACTACTTAATCCAAGTAAATGAAAGCACCGCTAAACAAACCACAATATTCATACATGACAGGTTAATTAATGGGATATGCTACTCAGTTCTTTTAATTTTCATTACTGGGATAATGGATACTGGGAACGACCTGTTCTTCAAGTGCCTGAGCACTGCGGGTCCCAACTTTTAGTTGGCTTGATTTATAGACATTAGGTAGGACTCCTTGGACGAGGGATCGGCCCGTCGCAAGGCCTCTACCTGTACACAGAATAGCACAACATGGAAAAACGCGGACAAACAACCACGGCTTGAGTGGGATTTAAACCCACGGTCCCAGCGACCAAGCAGCACAAGGCCCACGTCTCAGACCACGTGGCCACTGCGGACCCTTTAATTTTCATTACAGTTATGATTTAGAAGATGGCTGTCTTCAGGGTTGTTGCGCCATGTAGTCTGATAGACGTTTACCAACGTTTCAGAGGTCTGTCTCCATCATCAGGGCACCCTAATGATGGAGGCAGCAAGGACAGAAGACAGCCATCTTCAGACTCGCCACCACGAAAACCTCTAATCCTACATAATTAAAACTTACATTACAAATAAACTTTAAAAGATTTACACGAGTTTCACACAGTTTTACAAAGACCATGATTCCTTCTCAGAACATAAATATTTCGGATAGTACTCTTGCTTTCTACCAATCCAAGCCATATAATCTTTATTAAATGATAAAGTCCTCTTTAATTTCTTCCTTCTAATCCCGCCCCTATTTTCACCCAATCACACTGTTAACTTCCCACCCAACTCCCTCCCACAGACATATACCCCGAGCAGTGACTGTAGCGAACGCCAAAATATTGAACACTTTCAATACACAGCATAGCTAATTTCCTGAAACCAGGAATTATTCAAATCTTGTAATCAATTACAAAAGTATTACTACATACCTTCACAACGCTCTGTTTAAAAGCATTTTGAGAAGAAGCATCGATAAGATTCCACTGTTCGATGCAAGTAACGAATGTATTGAATTGTTTCAGCATGGCAAGCAGTAAGTTCACTGCCTCATGCCTGATAACTAGTTGTCTATGTGGAAGCAGCTGTGAACCAATTTCTTTTAATAAAACGGATGGCACTGTCAACGTATGCACCACATTTGTTATTTTGTGCGCTGTCAAAGTATCAGCATATGGCTTCAGAGCTTGCTCCGGATTCAAACTTTGTACTAGCTGAAAAGAACAATACATCACCATGCAGTACGATGATTATACAAAGTTTGTATGAGTAACTCATTAACTCCATGTTACCGAGTCCTCCAAGAGCCAAAACTACCCTAATTTAATAAAATGCTGATTTATATAAAAACCAAATTGTTCACTACCAGACTTTATCACAGTTAATATCATATATTACTCTATTTACTTACATTCAGGGGAACAAATCTTAATATAGCCAAGATTAATTACTGATACTTCCATTTTACTGTAGGGCATACCATTTAAAATGAAGCCCTATCTACAACAGTACTTTTAAGTTTCGTGACATCAATATAAAAAGATAAATAAGTTGTTTTTAGATATTTGTTGGGTAGATCTTGGAAAACGGCTTTTACGGCAGATGAAAATGCCCATCACCTTCTTAAATACAAACATTTATGTATCGTGTGACTTTGCAAGTGTTTCTGAATCAACATTCCCAAGTAGCGTCTCACCTTTCAACAGTTATTTGATGCTAGACATGTTTCCTGTGCCCTGAAATTTTGTTAAAAGTTGGTCTATTGTCTTACTTAGTAATTCCTTATCAAGATATGCACCGGTAAATTGTTCGCAGCAAACTGCTTTGACGCAAAGTTATGTTTGAGAATGAGCAAACATTCTGCTTGTGAATACACCATGTTTGCACCTGCACAGATTTCGTGTAACTGGCATAAGCAGCGGCCTAGTAACCAGGGTGACCCTCAACTCAAGTGTCACAGAAAAGGTGGAAGAGTCTATTACACAGGGATGGACCTGTTCGATTTCATCTCTGTACTGTGGTATGTAACGGTTGCTGGGTTGCATTTTAAATGGTACTACACCTCAAGAAGATTACGGCTTCATTCATTATGCCCTATGATCCGCTCTTTTACATGTTACATGCAGAGAATATTAACGTCACATTTACAATTTGACTGGCAGAGGCCATCCATTTGAAATTATGCACAAATGCCTTCATCTTTAAGCTTTTAAGTTTCATACACACGGTCAAGGTTTAAGTTCAGGCAATTCTAAATCAAAGCTTTTATTCCCCTTAAGTTTGACTGACGAGTTACCAGCAGGTAACACGTTTATCTACAAGAGGTTTTATCCCACATGACAGTACTTTTAGAAGCTACTGAAAACATATTAATTATAATTATGTTTTTTGCTCTTAATGGACACATGGCTGGACTACAATAGAAAAATAATTCCAGTCACTCGGTAATCAATTTTTATCTTGCTTAAATTTCACTTAAAACTACAACCAAATTGACTCAAAACGATCTTTGATAACTGTACCTGCATCACAAAGGTAATGGCTTTCAACCAACTGACAGAAACTCGGGGCTCCAAATATGGTTGTACATTTGCTAAAACACATTTCATCAGGTCAGGGCAAGCAGCAACAATCTTGATAATCAGTTTAGCTTTTTGTTCATGTTCCCATGGTCTCTCCAAATTCTGTTAAAATGACAAAATACAACGTTCATTCCACCGTTCCATTTCAAGTATACGAGATAATGCATAATATACGTGCACCAAAATTACTTATCTCAAATAAATCAACTTAGTACATTTGAAAACCATTTAAAGTAAACCAAGTACAAAATACTGACTAATACATTTTTTACAAAGAAACTTCAGAGATTCAAAATCAAATTAGGTAAGTACCAAATTTTATTCCTTTGAATTTTCTCCTCCCAGAACCTCAACTACCTCTCAGTTACTAGTAAACCAAAGGTTCATATCACCATCGCTGCCAAAGCCTACTGGACCCTATTCAGCCAGCTAAATCAACATATCATCACTTAATATTTACGAAACAACGCATATTAATCTCCTACCTATTCCTTGATTTCCCACGTGACTTATTTCTATGAAGTGATCTACTAACAATATGTACGATGTCTTTTACCCCACTTGCCCATCTAAACCTTACCGATTCAATTATCTGTACTACGGGAATAACACAATTCATTATATTAATGAGTTTAACTGTATATTCACCTATCTAACTTTATCGCTACAATATTAGGAAAATCTTCAAAACAAAACACAGTCTTTTGAGTTTCCTTATGGGAAACAAGACCAGAAAGAAATCCATAACATGTGGGACATTGCATCTGTACCGTTCACTCTGAACGTGAGAGATGACATTGGTAAAACAGGCAAACCGCTAGCTGTGGTACAGCAGGTTATATCCTAAATTCTGACTGCATTAGAGGTTAGTGGAGTTGTTTTGGGTTTGGTTTGATGTATTTTAATCCTCACTTTCACTTTAGTCTTAGACTTGATCTTCCTAAATTTTATTGTAAATATTCTTATCTCCTGTTGACGACACCTAATCCCAGATGCTTATATACATGTGACTGCCATCACTTACATTGTCCAGTGATCGAGAGAGTACGTGTCTCCATTCCTTAAACTTGAGGAAGAAATGTTTTAGAATACAGAGTGGATCTTAGAGGGGAAAACTTAGAATGCATTGAAGACAGCTGTATTCTGGGTTGTTGCTATGTGTAGTCTGGTAGAAGTTTACCAACGTTTCAGAGGTCCTTGCTGCCCACGGTGATCGCCCTGATGATGGAGGAAACCGTGAAAACCTCAGCTTACCAAGAATCAATCTAAATCATTTTTTTGTGGGGGGCAAAACTTGTCCACGTGACTACGCGCCATGATAAAGTACGCAGGAGCATTAAGGTAAAGCGCCATGCGTTGGTAGGACACGAGTGGTCTGTTCTACTGACGGAAAGGGGCCTGGGGAAGCCCAAAAAACTTCACGACATGAAGGCAAAGAAAGTAATTTCCTTCTTATCCCTAATAATAGGTGTCAGAGACTTTAATATAAACAGAATATTTACTTCCAATACGGTTTGCAATAATTCATTATGCTTCTTGCCAGATGTACCAATACTTCTGTCGTGAAAAATAATGCCATATTTATGAGAGGCACATAGAACTTGGAGGAAGTCATGAACTGCATCTGCTACTATCTGCTGGCCTTCTCTTTGTTCCACATCATCATCCTGTAACAGAATACAGTATATACTAATACATTTTTCACTTTCAAGGTTTAATGCCATTTCACTGCTTAAAAACCGTATATAAAATTTCAGTTTTATTGTCTGCCACTTCTGTTCTTATGCAAATGTCAATATCAGATTTTTTAATCAAGGTTAGGGTTGTACAGACAAAAAGTCTTGTTAGATCTCAAGTTCTCACAGAGGCAAGTATGAGAATGGCCGTCTTCTAATCGTTGTGCTGATCACTGCCCTGATGATGGAGACAGCAAACACTTTTGAAACATCAGTAAACTTCTACCAGATTATATGATGCATCAACCCAGAAGACAGCCATCTTCACACGGAAAGTCTTATTTTGAATGGTACCCAAAAATTTAAATAACCATCAATCTCTGTAATACACGAGTCAGAATGTCTGCTCAATTAAAATTAAATTCCTGCACTGACCCAAGTACTGCATTTCTATAACTGCATTTACAATTATTTTTGATAACAATACTGTATGCTCTTTTGTTTCAATCTATATAATAAGTAATTTCTTCTACACCATTCTTACTGTACGCATTGGCATTGAACGTAATACAGGGAGAATATTTGCCCACTAAGCTGGGGCACAGCCTTCCCACTAT